GAGCGACAAATAGCACTGCGTCCCTGTCTCGATAAGACAGCAATGACTGAAAATCAAGGTCCGGAGGGATTTCGTGTGCCCCGTTCGGAGAGGCGGGCGGACAGCCGTACTCTCAGCTGCGTAGGTGGCGTCGCCGTATTGCTCTGGACCCAGGGTGGCCGGCGGCTGGGCGGGCAGCCGTACTCTAGCTGCAGAAGGTGGCGTCGGCCGTATTGCTCTGGACCCAGGGTGGCCGGCGGGCGGCGGGCAGCCGTACTCTAGCTGCAGTAGGTGGCGTCGGCCGGGCTGCGGATCCAGGGCAGCACCGCCTTACCCGCGGCGAACACGTCAGGCGTGCCGGGTGGGCGCACGGCTGCCGAAGGACACGACACCGATCATGGGCTACTTGCTGTTCTCCAGCGTGACGAGCGGGCCCCGCTGGTCGCCCATGCAGACCGCCTTGCCGCCGGCCGGCAGACCGCCGGCCAGATCATGGTGCTGGTGAGGATGTTCCACACGGTCCTGCACTGAGCATCGGATTTGACCGGCAGCTCGACCTCCTGCAGCTCCGTGGCCTGCCTGCGAGGCGCCGAGCTGGCCGAAGCCGGTGGCGATGGCGGGCGCCGGCGTACGTCTGGCCGGCGGTCGGCAGGCACACGGCCGCGCGCCGCCTGTTGAACGTGACCGGACTGGACAGCTTCAGCAGCGAGTAGTCGTACCCCTTGCCGGCCGTCACGTAGGACGGGTGCTGGATGATGGCTGAGGGTGTGACGTGACTCACCGTCGACCACGCTGATGCGGTGATCGCCCAACAGCACCTGGATCTGCGACGCCGTCTTGCCACTGGTGCAGTGGGCCGCCGTCACACGTACCGGTTGTTGATGAGGCTGCCGCCGCCCAGGTGCGGGTCTGGCCGGGGTCGACCAGACCGCCTGCCACGGGTACTCATTGACCTCGGTCTGGACCGCCAACCACCGCGAGGCACGGTTGGCCACGCCGCAGCTGCAGCTGCCAGGAAGATCCACCCGATCCGGCCGCAGCCCGGATGGGCAGGAGAACCCAGTCCCGACCTCGACGTAGTCGGAGTGGAAGTCGATGTTCAGGGCTGAGCTGCCAGAGACGGAAGGACCCTGACTTCCACAGAACTTGTTTCCGTTCACGCGCAGCCAGTCCCACTCACAGGAGCTGTGCATCTCAATGTCGAATGCAGAGCAACTGATGGATAAGGTCGCGGCACCCGATCCCGGTGTCAGCTTGTAGACGCAGTCGTAGTCGTTGCCGTAGTTGGAAGGGTAGTTCGGCGACGTGATGGTGTACGTTCCCGCAGTCAGCGCGTGGGTACCGCATGCAAGAGTGTTGCGTGCGGCTCCCAGCTCGGCGTCGAAAGGCACGGGCTCCAGCGACTTGGCGTCCTCCAGGGAGACGTGCGGCTTGGCCGCGGCAACGCCCAGAACGACAATAGCTAGGAATGCCCTCATGGTGACTGCCGGCACACTGAGAGCAGCACATGCCGTGTGTGCATTTATATACATACGTGCACAAGACCTGGCTGTCATCGGCCGACGCTGTCTCGCGGAAGTTGGCGAACTCTGCGCTTGCGAAATCCACAAAAGAAACAGGTCATCCGATGGAACTGAGGCATCCCAGGCGCAGCTGCAGAGATGCCGGCTAGGCCCCGCGCAAGTGTTCCATTGTCCAGACCGAAAAAAATAATGCGTCATTCATACCGTTTGAAAAGCGCACGTGCATTGGGGACGCTGATGAAAGACTTTGCTAACAGGCACACGCCGGTGGAAAGGTTAGCCTGACCTGAGTCCGTCAACAGATGTGAAGCTTTTTGTGGGCAGGAAGATGCCAAGTTCGCCATGTAGGAAGACACAAATGAAATGACGCGCCAGCACTGAGAATTGGTACAAAATTGAGAGGTGCCCATTTACCGTTCTAACGAGTGGTCCAACAGCTGGAAACTGACAAGGCCGTCCTTTGCAGGGCTCCCGAGAGACCCCCCCCCCTTCCCACCCCTTACCCCCCACCCCCACCCCCGTCTTAGGGATATACGGTGCACTGTTGACTTCGGTCTCACATTTTGATAAAATTCAAGTCGCAAAGTTCCCCACGTTTCGGCCAACATGCCGTCTTCAGATGATATGTTTTTGTGTAAAAAACTTGAATTCATTTGAAGAGCGCGAGAGCTCTTCCAAAATGATATGAAGTTTGCGACTGCTTGCGTTGCATTCGAAGCGATTCATCATTGTACCGTATAGAATACATGTTTGTGTCCACTACGACCGTCACGTTGCCACCGGCGTTGAACTACGTGTGAAAAAAGCAATAACATTGCTTTATCCGATGATGCTATCATTGCCAATCAAGTGGCATCATTCCCTTTCAGCAATGCCACAAAGATTGTGAGAAATTGCCATATGGTAACACGCCCCGGAGGGGGGGGGCAGTATCAACCTTGATGTTTTAGTTCAAAATAATTTCCAACCGGCGCGGCGGAGCCTCGCCAAACACTGCGTAGTTAAAGGTAATCAAAGGCCGATTTCGTGGTGTGACAAATTATATATATATATATATATATATATATATATATATATATATATCGTGAGGTCGCTGACCTATGACGGGTCGAAGCCTGACTATGGCTGTCAGCGAAGCCAATTCAAAGATAATCGACCCCTTTTACGCGACAACGTAGTGCTAGACGGGGTTTACAACTTTGAGATGGTTTCTTAAACAATTAGAGCTTTTGAGTTTAGGATGACGACATTTTGCCTACACGTGGTATTTGCCTACACGTACTAGATATGCAAATTGAGACTGGTTGCGCGAGGAGATATGTGGGCGCATGGGACACCGATATATGAGGGCCTTTCAGACACTCATCTGGATTTTAACCTTGCTGTACCCTATTTGACCTTAAGTTCACGACTTGTTACTATATACTTCGAATTTCATACGTGTGAGTTCATATGTAGCCATACCTATCCTGTGAATTTGGTGTTTCCAGCTCTCTTAATTTGATTAGATCTCGGGTAGATAAATGTCCCCCCCCCCCACTCCCACCCCTGCTACAGCGTGGTGTATGTAACCGGCCACCGGGGGCGTGCTAAAGCGAAATTTCGGCATTCGGTATTAAGGTATTCAAGACAAGCACCACCTGGCGGAAAGTGGGCGCAGACTGGGCTCTGGTTGTTTCAGATGTAACCAACTTTACAATACGTCAAAACGAATCTTATTGTGCATGCGGGCGTCGTGGAAAAAATTGACCGACTGGGTTCGGCGTAAAAACGACTAATTTCTGGATTGCCTGATAGCGCATAAACACATGTGTTTATGCGCTATTTGTCCTCTGTCGATCTTTCATTGATTTTTAAAACGTCAGTTTTTTCTGACATGAGAAAATGCGTGTGTCAGAACTCCACAAATTGCCATCTATTCTGTGGGAAAATGAAATTACTTTTAGTCCCAATTATTACTCTGAAAACCAGGAAGGGCTAGCCATGGGTTAACAGTTAAACACCCTGTACCAACGATTTTCCTGAATAGTTTTTTGTGTATTTAAGCCACGAGAGGAACTTCTTTCAGTTGAAGCAGTGCATTCCGATGCTCTTTCCAAAAGCAGCAGAGCCTGCAGCATAATAAAGTTCTCGCTACTAGTGCCCGCTAGCCAGACGGCTGACATTGAGGCTTACTAGATGTAGATGCCTCGGTGAACATATATAACTAAGCATTTTAGAATTCGTGGGTATACAGTACATGTGTTTTACAAATAAAGGCTCTAATAATTTTTGAATGACCAAGACAAAACGAAAAAAAACGAGCGCACTGAAATGCATGCTGTTTTTATCAGCACATGCCATGGCTTAGGAGCATGGCTTTTTCATGATCAATATCTGTACATAAAAAGAAAGGGCTCCAAAGCTTGGCTGGCGTGGGAAGCAGGAGGCGGAACGCTTAAGGCCGTGGTAAATCACCAGTCTGCCGATTTGCCTATTTCTCTTGATTTTGTAAATACCTGTCAACGATACTTGATGTGTTTCATAGATTCTTTGATAATTGGGGTAATCATGCAGGATTCCCTCCACAAACTGTATTTGCGTTTAATACGACGTTGTCATAAATCCAAAACATGTTTGGTAGCAATTTTAAGAACTTAATGCTCTACCAGGTACTCGTCAACGAAAATGCGATTTGTTGATGCGGTAAGGTAAGGTAGACGGATTTTTTAGGTAAGTTAAGCATTTTTGAAGAACTTCTGGACTACTTGCCGCAGGAAAAACGGGTGATGCCAAATATGGAACACGAACTACGAGTAGTTAGGAAAATCTGAAGAGTACATGAGGCCTAATGTACTCGCGTGAGCGAGCCCATGGACGAATGTAGCGTTTTGAAAGAAAAGTTGTGAAATATCGCCGAAAATTGGGCTACATATCAAGGACTTGTACTGCGAAATGGAAAGGGTATTCAAATCGCTCGGGACACCTTTTTGCAAAGTCATGCCGCTGCCAGTTCTGCTCATTAATGCACCACCTCTTATGGACTACTCAGCACCTTCAGTACCTCCGCCGCACAAGGGGTACTGGATACACGGTGCAGCTGGACACGTAGTTGAACATTGTAGCCTAGACATCGGTGGGGAAACCTGAAGCCGCACGGCAGCCTGGGGCATGCCTTGATTGTCTCCAGACATCTCGCCATATGACCGAAAATTGTGCACAACCGAACGAATGTAGGGCCACTTTTGGGAGTTCAGAGTTCTTATGTCGAGTTACTGACCTTCACTATACCAAGAGGTAATTGCTTAAGTGTCGTCGGACGTCGTAGAACACCATTTAAGGGAGTCTTTCGTCTTATCGCATGGTTCTTGATATGGAGCTTGTAAAGCTGGCTGTTGCTGGGGTTTGGACCGCTCCACTGCATTAGTAACACGAGAAAACGAGACAAACTGTATCCATTGCGCCGCCAGTCTAGTGTCCCGAGGTCGGCGAAGTTGGTGCCATGACGTTCGGACCTGACCTCTGGCTCATCCGCTGACAGAGGAGGTGATTCGACGGGAGGTGAGCCGGCTGGTGCGCAGCCGACCGCAGGCCGTCTGCCACATCTCTGAGGCGCTGCAGTACCTCACCACGCCCGAGCACATCGTCAACGATATCATCGAGGTGAGCCGGCCGACCGAGGCCGGCAGCGCTGGCGTGCCGGGAGATTGGCGCGCTGGCGCTGGCCCACCGTTTGTCGTCAACAGGCAATATCAGTCTCTTGAAACCCTCGCTGCCGGTTGGTTAAACGGTTCAAGTTTTCGTTGCTAGTCCTCGTCTGCAGTTGTTGGATTGGACCGTCTTTACGTGCATGACTTCTCACTCCATGACGATAAGTGCGGTGACGGGATAACAAGCATGCCCGGCATATATTCACTCCAGTGGAGTATGCGCTCATGGGACGCGCCGGCGTGTCTCCAGCCCACCGAGAAGGCATCTCCGGCCGCATTGTCGCCGTGTGTTGGCTGGACTCGACGCCGGTGTGCGGTGGCTGACGGCGCCGTGCGGGGACGTGTGTTGGCTGGACTCGACGCCGGCGTGCGGTGGCTGACGGCGCCGTGCGGGGACGTGTGTTGGCTGGACTCGACGCCGGCGTGCGGTGACTGACGACGCCGTGCGGGGACGTATGTGGACTGGTCTCGACGCCGGCGTGCGGTGACTGACGGCGCCGTGCGGGGACGTGTGTTGCAGCTGTCGCACGCGCTCACCTGGGCCAAGCAGCCGCCGGTGTCGGCGCTGGCCTTCTTCTCGCGCCAGTACCCGCCGCACCCGATCACGGCCCAGTACGCCGTGCGCGTGCTCAGCTCCTACCCGTCCGACACGGTGCTCTTCTACATTCCGCAGCTGGTGCAGGCCGTGCGCTACGACACGGTACGCGCGCTAGTCGTGCCCGATCGGACACGTGTGTGCCGTTAGTGTGTCCACCGTCAGGGCGTGCGCTACGATACGGTACGCGCGCTAGCCGTGCCCGAAAGGACACGTGTGCGCCGTTAGTGTGTCCACCGTCAAGCCGTGCGCTACGGCACGGTACGCGCGCTGTTCGTGCTGGGCTGGACGCGTGTGTGCCGTTAGTTTGTCGACCGTCCGCTGGAGTGTCAATGCCAGTGTAGTATTCCATGTGGTTTGATCGCTGTTTTCCTTGGTTTCTGTTTGGCTGCACGATATTGGCGCATTGTGCTCATATTTTATCTATCACTTTCTTACTTTATCGGGTGCTTGGAGAAATTGGCTGTTCAAGGTGACAAATTCATCGGTCCATTACGAACGTTTCCTTAACGTATAGAGATGACAGATGAAATTCCCATCGCGATAGCTAGCTCACCCCAGCTCAAATGACCTCCACCTCCAGATGGGCTTCATCACAGAGTTCATCAAGCGCGCGTGCGCCAAGTCACAGATCCTGGCGCACCACGTGATCTGGAACATCGAGACCAACAAGTTCCGCGATGAGGAGGGCCAGGTCAAGGACGGTGAGTGTGACGCCGTGGCCGGCTGTCCCGCACTTCCTGACGACGCAGGGCGGTCCTGGCACCGCTCCTGCCGCCCACCATGGGCCGCTGTGTCTCCACGGAGCTGCGTGGAGGAGGTAGAGTCGCCGCAGTTCCAGGTAGAGTCATCGTCAGAATCCAGCTGCCCTCCTCGCGTAGCTAACCTATGCAGCGCAGGGGCACGCTTGGCCTGCTGCGCAGCGGTGGACTCACGCACCTGACCGGCGCCGTTCACGACTTCGCCGTGCCGGGTTCGAGAACGCTGAACTACGCTGCCTTGTCAGCATGTAGACCTTGAAACCCCTTGACTCCGCGTTTGTGCCTGCCAAGGTGTATTAGTCGCTGTCGCGTGGACAGCGCGCGGCGACGTGGACGTGTCAGCCATGTGGTTGATCTCCCGCACGGTCGCACGGCGCATGTCGGGTCCGCGAGCATTTGTCAGTACCTGGCTTCGCCTGCTGAAGTGGGACATGCAGCATACGTCAGCGGCGCGGTCGGGACCACGCTGCCGCTGTGTTTACACGGTGAGTCCCGGTTTCAGCGGACCTGTACGACACCCTGGAGAACATCCGGAACGCCATCGTCTCGTCACTGTCTGGGCCGGCCAAGGCGTTCTACGAGCGCGAGTTCAGCTTCTTCCAGAAGATCACCAACGTGTCGGCCCAGATCAAGCCGTTCCCGAAAGGTAGCGTGTGCGCCCCGGTCGTTCCGGACGTGAACTGACACGGCCTTGCGGAGGATGACGGGGACTGCACGGCGAAAACGCCGGCGGTGAGGTAGGGATGTATGTGAGCTAATGATGTGGCAAGGGAAGGAAATCGTCGTAGCTGGAATTACCCATGTCACGTCGTCCTGGCTTGGAAGCCCAGTCCCCATTATCAATACCAGACGGAACTACACACACAGCCGGTGACCATGCGCGCCAGTGGCCACTATCATGCCGTCATGTCCTTCTATCGCAATACCATAGCGTGATGTCACGAGCCCCCATCCGTGTCTGTGGCGTGGTTCCATGATCCATGTCTCGAGCCCCCATCCATGTCTGTAGCGTGGTTCCATGCTCCATGCCTCGAGCGTGGCTCCACGATGAGCACCTCCCTGCTCTGATGGGGCGGATGGCCGTGGCCCCGCACCTGGCAGCCCGGCTGACCCGGCCGGACCGCTGCTGTCGGCAGGTCCTGCTCGCAAGGAGGCCTGTCTGAAGGAGCTGCGCAAGATCGAGGCTCAGCCCGGGTGCTACCTGCCGCCTATCCCCGACTGCCGGGTGCTCGCCATCGACTACAACAGCGGCACGCCCATGCAGAGGTCAGGGGTCAGGTCGTGAGCAGCCCAGGATCAGGTCAACCGTGCTTTCTCGGATCAGGTCAACCAGATGGTCAACCTGCTGATGGTCCCGGAACATCGTAGCTTGGCACTCCCGGGTCAGGTAACCTAACGGTCTCGGATCAGGTCAATGTGACGGTCCCGAACCAGGTCGCACTGTTTCGTCTGTCCAGAGATCAGCAGCACGCTCCGGGGCCTCAGCCCCCCCTTCCCCTCCCCCCTACCCTCGTATCGACGCCATTTAGCCGTCTCAGCTGAGGGTGGGACGCGAGCACCACCGGTGGCGATGCAGTGCGCCCGCGCGGTGTCGGAGTACGCGCTGTACTGCCCTGGCGGCTGCCCCCGTTGCTGACTGGCGGCCGGCCGTGCTGCAGTGCCGCCAAGGCGCCCTACCTGGCCCGGTTCCGCGTGGAGAGGTGCGGTATCAACGAGCTGGAGCAGCAGGCCATGCTGATCGGGGAGCCGGCCGAGCGGCGGCCCTCCATGGGACCCGAGAAGTGGCAGGCCGCCATATTCAAGGTTAGACGCCCCGCACCAGGCACGCGTGGCTTGAAAATACCGATTCTGAACGGTGTGCAGCAAGGCTTTTGAACAGGTTAAGTTGACCGTGTATCTTGGCCCCACCACTAATGTAACGTGACTCCGTTCGAGCACGGCATGTCGCACTCGGTCTACAGTCACGCAGACGAGTGAAAGGTTTGTTTTGATGTCATGCTGCGCCATTACACGGCCTGCCTGCTGTCGGGGCCCTTAGTATGCTCCGCTGGTAACTTCACCACACGCACCGTACCTGATCCTACCTCATGCGTTTAAACAGCGGCCCTCGTCCGGGGTTTTGCACGCTGTCGCCTCCCAGGCTCAGGGTTCGGAGGTCAGGCGCTGCACTAGCTGGGTCAACCGGAACTGAACACCCGACCGGTCGGGATGAGCGCCAGTGAACGGCCCGCCCGCCCGGCGCCACGGAGCTATCGCGACGCTTCTGCTTACCCGTCACGGGTGTTCTGTAATGCTGCGATACACCTGTGTATCCTGCGATGCTCGTGGACACGCGAACGCCTATATGAAGCTACTTGTATGTCTGTGTCTGAATTGTTACATGCCTGTGCGCGTGGATATATCTGTTGTGACGCGTCTGTACGCGTGGGTTAGGTCTATGACACAGCTGGGCGTCCCCAGGTGGGCGACGACGTGCGCCAGGACATGCTGGCGCTGCAGGTGATCGAGCTGTTCCAGAACATCTTCCAGCAGGCCGGCCTGGACCTGTTCCTCTACCCGTACCGGGTGGTGGCCACATCGCCCGGCGTGAGTCTGCGTCGCCCGGGCCGGCGCGGCTGGTGCCAGCAGCCTACTCACGGCATGGTCCGGCGGCACGGAGAATTAACAATTCGAGGTGGACAAACAAATCTAAAACATGCCGTGCTGTACACCATGCAAGAAGTTTTGCGCACCTGCGACGCATCGACCCGGGTTTTTAGAGCCAGCATTTTATTTGTTCCCCGCCCCTCCCCTTTTGAGAAGTCCCGTCTGCGCTCACGCTGGTGCTCATTCCACGCCAGTCGTTGACCGGGCTAGTGTTGACCAGTATTGGGGCTCGTGGTAGGCTCCGTTGGTAACTATCCACCGAACACACCGTACTGATCCTATCTCACGGGTTCAAACGGGGTTTTGCATACGCTGATCATTTGTCGGTTTTATCAGCAGTTTCTTCGTTTTTAGTTCAGTGAACTGAACCTGCCTGGAGTTTGGGATTAGGATGTGCGGTACATATTCAATTATATGAATGCTACCCTCATCCGCACTCACCAAGACAGCAAAGTATCCACACTTTTTTGTCAGACTTTCCAGAATCCCATCAGTACGATATTGGTCATAGAGCCCCGAACGGTCCCATGTTATCAACGTTGCAACAGTAACGCCACATTAACGAATGCTTGCTGTGGCCGTTTGGACGTTTTACGGTGGGCTTTGGCGTTTCAGTGCGGCGTCATTCAGTGTGTGCCCAAGGCCAAGTCCAGGAGCGACCTGGGCAAGGAGACTGACTTCGGGTTGTTTGAGTACTTCCTCACGACGTACGGTCACGCGTCGAGTGCCAAGTTTCAGGTGAATGATTTTTTCAGCCCGCCAGTGTCATGGCAGGCCTCAGGTAGTTCGCCTTCGGGGAAACTTGCTTGAAGCGATACACGTCGGAGGACGCTTGTCGAGTCACGTGGCGCCTTGTTTCTTCGTTTGAGACTGACAATACCATTTCGCCGCGTATGCGATGGGAGCCGCTCTTGAACAGCGTGTGAGCCCGAGTTTACCGACGTGCTGTCCCTCTCAGTCGTGCCGACGGCCCCCTGTCCGCTGGAGACCGCCCGACTGGCCGCCGTCCGTGTGCGGCCGCCGCCCGACTGACCGCCATCCGTGTGCGGTCGCCGCCCGACTGACCGCCGTCCGTGTGTGGCCGCCTCCCGACTGCCCGCCGTCCGTGTGTGGCGGTCGCCCGACTTCCCGCCGTCCGTGTGTGGCGGCCGCCCGACCGCCCGCCGTCCGTGTGTGGCCGCCTCCCGACTGACCGCCGTCCGTGTGTGGCTGCCGCCCAACTAACCACCGCCTGTGTGTGACCGCCGCCAGGACGCCCGGCGGAACTTCGTCAAATCCATGGCGGCCTACTCGCTGGCGCTGTTCCTGCTGCAGATCAAGGACCGGCACAACGGCAACATCATGATCGACGAGGCTGGCCACATCGTGCACATCGGTAGGCGTCGGCCTGCCGCCCCTCACGCCGCGGACCGTTCGGCCGACGCGTGCCGTGACGCCCGCCCCTGTAGTGGCCGCGAGCGTCGCCGGAGTCGGACTGTGCACGGATGCCCCGTCTGGGGTAGTCGACGCGCCCTAAAACCCCAATCATCATCATCGCCCCGTTTGGAGTAGTATCCGGGTCGAGGCTGCTCCGCTCGGCTGGTGTGTGACGTCATGACTGTGTCTAACGTCACGGCTGCGTGTGTGGTGACATGGCGCGGGGCAGGGGCGGTGTGGCCGCCTGTTTGTGCGCTGACACGAACCCGGGCCGCCGCCAGGCATGGCCTCGTGCTCTTGTGGCGTCATGTCCCTCTGTGACGTCACATGGACAGCGCAGCGACATTTCCGGATGGTGACGCGTGTGTTGGCCCCCCGCCAGACTTCGGCTTCATGTTCGAGTCATCGCCGGGCGGCAACATCGGCTTCGAGCCGGACATCAAGCTGACGGCCGAGATGGTGATGGTGCTGGGCGGCCGGCTGGACGCCGAGCCCTTCAAGTGGTTCATGGAGCTGTGCCTGCAGGGATACCTGGCCATCAGGTGTGTGGTTCTCCTGGCCGCTTCACGCGTCGGCCGCGCCGCGAGGGCTGGTCGTTTTGAGGCTCCAGCCAGCACACTGATCGAATCAGCTCTGTTCCCTGACCGCCTTCGGGCAGCGTCAGCCAGAACCTGGGCGGGGAGGATGGTCACTCACACGCAGTGGGACACGGGGCTAGGCTGGAGACTGCTGGAGTCTTTCAACACGTTGCGGGGGATGTTGCCGAGGGATACATCAGGCTGATGCAACGTCTGCTATGTGGTGTGACCTGATGTCGCTTGGGGAATGTCTTACATCTCACCCGGGAGCTTCTGGAGATGGCCCAACATTCAAAGTGGCACACACGCCGACGACGTCTGAGACTTTTCAAAGCTGACAAGCGACACAGCCTGAGCATAAGGGCGCCTGAGGGCGGTCCGGCGCCTGGACGGAAGGCCGTCTCCTGCGGCGAGCTGACCGGAGCGTGCGCCACAGGCCTTACTGCGAGGCCATCATCTCGCTGGTGTCCCTGATGCTGGACACCGGGCTGCCCTGCTTCCGCGGTCAGACCATCAAGCTGCTGCGGGCCAGGTGAGAGGCTGGCGGCCGGAGTAGGGGGCCAGGCGATGGGCGCGGGTGTGCCCCAGCGCGGCCCTGTCTGGCGCTGATGCGGCGGGAAGGATGGTCAGTCACCGCCTCCCGTCGCCAGACGGCGCGTGCCGGCTCCCATCAGAGCTGTGCCCAGTGCGGCCCTGTCTGGCGCTGATGCGGCGGGAAGGATGGTCAGTCACCGCCTCCCGTCGCCAGACGGCGCGTGTCAGCTCCCATCAGAGCTGTGCCCAGTGCGGCCCTGTCTGGCGCTGATGCGGTGCGAGGCGCGGTCAGCCACCGCCTCCCGTCGCCAGACGGCGCGTGCCGGCTCCCGGCAGGGCTGTGCCCGAACGCGGCCCCCGGAGCTCCGCGCTTCACCGAGGCCGTTTTCCGTGATCGTCTGGCCTGACAGCTCAGTGGGCGGAATCGAGTGACTGGTTAGTACTCAAGCCTCGTGGTCGACTCATGTGCCCCTGTATGCTGGACAGGTTTGCCACCACCTGCAGTGAGAAGGATGCGGCCGCCTACATGACCAAGGTCATCAACAACTCGTGCCTCAGCTTCCGCAGCAGGACGTACGACATGCTGCAGTACTACCAGAACCAGATCCCCTACTAAAGGGATGCTGTGCTACCAGAACCGGATCCCGTGTGAGGGGGACGACTCGCCACCGGCACCGGATCCACACTGTGGTGGTGCTATGCTGTAGAGCTAGTCCTTCCGAGCAGGCCGCAGCACTGCCTCGACCGTATCCCGTGGCCGTGGTCTGGCTCCGCCCGCGTCCGGCTGGCGGCCGCGGCGGTGCGGCACCTGCCAGCCACGTCTGGCCGCGGGCGGGCGGGGGACGGCGGCGCATCGGTCCCTCCTGCCTCCCGGCCGACCAGCGCGCCAGGACTTCCGCCCGGTGGCCGCCGGGGAGCGGCCACATCGGCCCGCGCGCGGCGAGCCGGAGTGGTGACGCCGCCTGTGCCATCACGGCCTGTGCAGTGGGACGGCGAACGCTTGATCCACGGTGATGCGGAGCGCGCTAGTTAAGCGGCGTTTTGTGTCTCGCGTCTCCAAGTGCCGCTTTCACGTGTCAGGCCGATGCGATGCATACTAGTTAGCGATGGGTAGGAATTTTATTAGAACATATATATCAAGTACGGATATCTTAACCAAGGGGACGGTGCCAATACAGCTCGAGGCTTCGGCACGCGGGTAGGGATGTTTGGCTTACCTGGCAGGTTCAGTGGTTTCGTTGTCTCCGTGCCGCGGGCTCGGTACCCAGACTGACGAACTCACATGGAATGCATCTATAGTCAGCGATAATTATGTCCGTTCCCTGTTGAAGGTGGTCGCCTGCTGTCCTGTTGTCATGTTGGGACGGTGCTGAGGTCCCACTAGGGGTTGTATCGCTGTTCCACGTATCCCGGTGCGTCGAGAGGAGGGGTGTAGCTGGTTGGTTCTCTTGGTCTAGTCAGGCAGACTGTGTATCCTGCGCACCCGGGCGCTCGTGACGTCCGTTGCCAGTCTGGCGGGGAGTGGGCCGCGTTTTGCCGCAGGCAGCTGTGTTGGGTTGATTTTTGCCGTTATACAGGTGGTTTTAAGACCGAGCCATTCCGAGATGTTGGCTGTTAGTGTTCTGCGACGGAACCCGGTGTAAATGTGGTCACGTTCCCAATATACGGCAGTTCTGTGCAGGTCACACGCACATTACCCTGTCCCTGAGCACGTGCTTCCCAGACAAGTCTTTAATGCGGTCGCTCGATGACATGCATATTTTCTATGTCATTCAGATGTGACATTGTTGTCATCACGTGTTGCGGTCACCGTATCTGCGTGTCAAGAGCTCTTCTAACATTGTCCGGACCGGTCCCTCTCTGCGGTCGCTGTAGAGCTGTATTTGGGATGCTTCCAGGAAAAACACATCGCAAGTTTCTCCAACCTACTGGTCTGCCTGTATCTTTCATTGGTGCTTTGCGACGCATTCAGCTACTGCTGCTTTGCAGCGTCGCCTGCCTCTCACTCGAGTGGGACACGAAAACAAAGCTGAACGAAGTTGTCGTCTCGCCAGTAGTGTTGCCCACAGCCTTGGTCTTGCCGTTAATCTAGCCCAGAAGACGGTCGAATAATACGATCTCTTTTGTCCGGCTACATTCCCGAGTTGACATGGACCAATCTCAGCCGCATCGAGATACTACGCAGGCTGAACTTGGCGGCATATATTTCTGTATCGGACTACATATGCAAATGTGTGTAAAAATCAGAAGGAATCTCAAAACACTTCCACGATCCATCACAATATTACTAGGAAAAAGCTCATGATAATAATTTGGGCTTAGGCGTACGCCGACAACCGAGGTCATTTTGCACACATGTCTGATATGCAAGGAGAGCCGGCGTCGGGCGTCCTCGCTGGCGTTGGACGGGCCGGCGTGGCAGCGCCGCCCAGCCTTCCCCTCCGCCGGCTGGTCAGTCGGGCCCCGCGAACAGCCGGGCGATGTCCTCGGCCAGCAGCGCCAGACTCATCCCCTCCACGTTGGCGATGATCGCGACAGTGACACCGCGCGGCCGGCCGGCCTCGCCGGGGTCGCCGGCCGCCGCCGGCCGCACCCAGCAGCACCGAGCTGCAGGCCGGTCGCAGCGCCCGTGTGCCAGGCGACCAGCGCGCTGTTCGGGGCCGGCGCCCAGCTCCGCCCGGCGGGGCGCACCCGCCAGTCCGCGCGCGTATTTGCGGGCATGAGTCTGCCGCCGCCGCCGGCGGCGGCGGCGGCGGCGGCACGGTCCACAGCCAGCGCGCGGTGGCCGGCCTCAGGTAGCCGGCCGGCGAGGCCGTCTCGTCAGCCTGCCAGCTGTACAGCACGGTGTCGGCGAAGCGACACAGGTCGGCAGGCGTCGAGAGCAGACCGCCGCCCGCCCACTTCCACGAGTTGTCCACGTGCGGAGCGTTCTGCAGCCGCCCGCCGCTGCCATGCACGTAGTACCTGCGCCGCCAGGCAGAGACGACCAGTGTCAGTGGTGGTGTTGCACTTGCCCATTAAGTGTCCCATTCCGAGTATACCGCACGTCCAGTACGTCTACGGAGTCCGTCCGTCTCCTTATTTCGGGTCTGTCTGATTATTCCACTGTTCTGCCGCCATCTGACAGCGGAGGAACCGAAGTGATAAGTGATAAAACAAACAGCATGAAACTTCAGACGACACCGAAGGACGAGTTAATATTGAGAAAGGCTAAACGGTCGTCCACAGCAATCTCTAACAGATGCGTAATTGCGTGCAGCGCCGCTGAGAACCCCAACTAACGAGCAGCCCACCGCCTGTGAAGACAGGACGGCATCACAACCCTGGGGCCGCCCAAGCTCCGGGGACGCTGGGGCAACTGATGCACGCCGTCGCGGCCGGCTGGACCCTGGCGCCGACCCTGGGGCCGCCCAAGCTCAGGGGACGCTGGGGCAAAACTGATGCACGCCGTCGCGGCCGGCTGGGTCCTGGCGCTGACCCTGGGGCCGCCCGAGCTCCGGGGACGCTGGGGGCAACTGATGCACGGCCGTCGCGGCCGGCTGGACCCTGGCGCCGACCCTGGAGCCGCCCAAGCTCCACGGGACGCTGGGGCGACTGATGCACGCCGTCGCAGCCGGCTGGGTCCTGGCGCCGGCCGGGCGCGCTGACCCTGGAACCGCGCCTGACCGGCTGGAGCCGCTCACCTGGCGCGGTGCCGCACGATCGGCGCGTTCTCGTCCAGAAAGGTGTCGCGTAAGTCCAGTGCGTGAAACATCTGCTTCAGCAGCGTGGAGAACTTCGTTTGGGTGGCCGCCTCCAGGACGGCGCTGACCAGAGTGAAGCCGTGTGTCGAGTAGTGGTAGTCACTGCCTGTCGACACGACACGACAGGTCACGCTTTCGCTGGGTACGGACGCCTACGGAGTTCGCATGAACTTGAGCTTCTCCAAGTTCGTATGGTAGATGTATCTTAATCAGCCCCCTTCATAAGAGTTCATCAGCAGCAGCAGTCCTCATAGGAGTAAATCATCAGCAGAATTAATGGCATTAAGTGTACCTACCAATGGCAACAAACAAATCCAACTCAAGGGTTAGGACATTCTATTAGTATGATACACTTACTTTACAGCCTACTGCTCAAGGCAAGCCTGGTACCAGGCATAACGTAAACAGGGACATATGAAAATTGTCATACCAGTTACATACAAACAGGCTGAAAATAAGTGATAGGAGTATCAACAAAGTGGCAGCCATTCAAAGTAAAACGCCTCAAACTTTAACCATCTAGTACGAATGCTAGACGGCCCAATGCAGCAGCGATCTCAGTTGTTGAATACGAGTAAGCTGCCATGTGGAAGGACGCAGCATCACCGCACTTAGCCGGCCGGCTTGTTCGGAGCGCTCGGTAATGACATGTTACACGTCGGTGGTGCCGGCAGCGCGAGCAAAACAAGGAAAACATCCACGAACCTGGCTTGTGAACAAGTTCATCATCCTTGAATACACTCAGGGCATCACCAACAGAATCATACTTGGTTTGGGTTCGGAATTCCCTGAACTGAAAATCGGATCTGTCAATTTCTCGCTGATCACTAGATTTCTTGACCTTGTCGTTCATTTTCTTTAAGGCCATTCTTTCACCAGCAGGCACAGTCATGGCATTGTCTTTTTCCCCGCCTTCTCTTTTGTTCACTCTCTCATTTTTTGCTATTTCTTCAACAGGCCCATCCGATTTATTCGCTTCATCTTCCGAAAGTATCACATGCGCCAGCTTGTTTTTTCGCACCTTCTCTGCTTTCTTCTTAATCTCTTCCACCTCATGTTTTTGGCAGTAATGCCTGATTCCTCCTCTGTGCGTCACCAACTGATCAATAGTCATGTCCACCTGAAAAAAAGATATTCAGTGATAAATCCAGCAGGCAGAACCATACCGCACGCTTGCAAGAACACCACTGAGAGGACGGCGCCAGTCGCTTCATGCATTCATGGGAACACCCACGACGATTAACAGCAATATTTTTCCGGCCCTTCACCCGGGGCGCAGTAAACTTACAAAACGTTAGGGGAGTCAAAACTCGTTGATAATTGGCCTTTTTATCGGCTGTCGGATTTTTCTCTGTAGGAGAAGGGGCATAGGTACACGACAGGCCATGCCAAAGTTCGCGGATATCTGCCCTCACTCCGCCCCTCACCCTTGATGTCGCTGTTAAGTCAGAACTGTGGCCAGTAAACTTCCTGTAGCGGAAAATGACCCCAGATCTTTGATCATCTGCCCCACCCGTCAAGGCATTATGTTCCACTTTTAAGCATCTCTCACCGCAATAACACCGGACTTCCCTAGCACGGAGCACAACACCGGAATCCCCCAGCACAGGGCACAACACCGAACTTCCCTAGCCCAGAACACAACACCGGAATCTCCCAGCACAGAGCACAACACCGGAATCCCCCAGCACAGAGCACAACACCGGACTTCCACGGCACAGGGCGCAACACCGGATTTTCCCAGCACAGAGCACAACACCAGACTTCCACAGCACAGGGCACAACACCGGACTTCCACAGCACAGGGCACAACACCGAACTGCCACAGCACAGGGCACAACACCGAACTGCCACAGCACAGGGCGCAACACCGGACTTCCACAGCACAGGGCGCAACACCGGACTTCCACAGCACAGGGCACAACACCGAACTGCCACAGCACAGGGCACAACACCGAACTGCCACAGCACAGGGCACAACACCGGACTTCCACAGCACGGGGCGCAACACCGGACTTCCACAGCACAGGGTACAAATTCATGGCATGTGTTATTATGTACGTAATTAAATCCTAACAGCTAAAAGTTCCAGACAGATGTATAAAAATAAAACAATCGAGTACATGCGATGCTCTCTTACAACACACAAGAAATCGAGCACACCTGCGGCGCACTCACCTCAAGGTTTCATTTTTTAGCTGTATTCCCCCCTCTCTCCCCCCTCACACATCTGTGTATACCGTTACATATATGTTTAATACAATCGGATTCGTAATGAAGTAGTGGAAAGGTGAAACAACAGTCTATATAAGAAACCACCGTTTACAGGTGGAAAGCTGTGCATACAAGTGAATGACATCTCACCGTGAGTGGTTGGCACGACCTCAGGATAGCGTAGATGGGAAGTACTAGCATTAAGCCCAAGCCAGTTCGATCTTCCCTCGAGACCCCAGCGTGTCCAACGGGAAGCTCGGTCAATGGCTCCAAACCAGCCAATGGTTTCACTGTTGAGCCATCGCTAGAAATGGACATGGACGGACTTCAGTTCGGCATTTCCTGGCATGGAGCGTCGAAGGCGTGGTGTTGCATCATGAATAAACTGATGCCGGTGGGGCACAAGCTCCTTCATGGTACGGAACCTGTGCTGGGACCGAATGTGGGACCGCCAGCCACCAGGCGCTCTAGACAATTCGTACTAATCAAATCACATGTTCCACTGCACCTTTCACATGATCATGGGCTGAACGCCGGGTTGACTAAGCCATCTGCCGACAAAAGAAGGAAATATTGCAACGTTGCCACCTAGCGACAGGAGTCGAAAAAATATCACCGTAGGTGACATCTAGCGGCAGGATGTAATTTATTTCTGATGTGTGACCGCTGGATATTATGAGCATTGGGTGCTATGAGTTTGAATATTGCGAGCTTGGGTATTATGAACGCCGCCGATGGGCACGGATTTGGACGCATTTGGGATGTTAGGGGCGCTGGATGCTGCGATGTTGCATGATATTAACAGTGGACGCTGCGATCTTGGACGTTTTGGCGGCTCCTTTTCTTTCTACGCTTTTGCTCGGGACGTGTCATCAAAACCTTTCGGGTTTGCCGCTTGTGTTTCGAGCAGCCCTGTGCTAAGCGCTACCTATTACCACGCACTGGCTGACAACGTGAGAGGCTGACTGACTGGCATGCACGTGATGTTCGAACAATGTTTCTTGAAATTTGACATGCATGGTCTTTGTCCACCCTTGTAGAACCCTTCTGTCTTAAAACTGCTACGGTGAACTGTAAAGCTGCAATGCATTGCGGACTATTTGTGTTGTCCCGATCAAGGTTTGATTTCGTGACAAACCTGCTCACATTCGCAGACTGGTATAACACATAATGGAGTTGGAATGGAAGTCTTCAGTTACTAAGCATACCAGCATTTCATGGAAATTCCTGCCTTTCCCTGGTCCAGTATTACGTTTTTGACCATATTAATTGCGGGGCCAGTAAGCATTGGGGGGGGGGGGGCAAATCAGCAAGGGGTATTAGCCCCCAAAGGCATGACACTAGGCTCCCTCAGTACGGGATATTGCACCCAGAAAGCCGACTCCTACAGCCTAGGACACGACACCCCCACCACCCACAGCGCAAGGCCACGGCATCCCACCAGACTCATAGCGCAATGCACGGCATCCCACCGACTTGCAGCGCAAGGCGCGGCATCCCACCACAGACTCACAGCGCAAGGCGCGACATCCCACCGGACTCGCAGCGCAAGGCGCGGCATCCCACCACAGACTCACAGCGCAAGGCGCGACATCTCACCGGACTCGCAGCGCAAGGCGCGGCATCCCACCACAGACTCACAGCGCAAGGCGCGACATCCCACCGGACTCGCACAGAGCAGGGCACAGCTCTCCGCACTGGAGCCGCTGGCTCGCCCACGTCTCGAGGGCGTCAGCCCACCTGCTCGCCGTCGAAGGCGCGGCGCGGGTATGCGGGCAGGTAGCGCTGGATCGGGGCGTGCACATCCAGCTGCCCTTGGTCCACGGCCCGACCCACTAGCAGCGTCGTCAGGCTCTTGCTGATGCTGGCGATACGGAGTACGTGGCGCGGCGACATCGGCATCATGTTCTCCACGTCCGCGTAACCGAAGCCTGGCGGCACACGGACAACCGGCTGTGACAGCTGTCTCGGTAATATAACTCATGGTCACAGCAAACATGGTGGCGGCGGCGCGGACTGTTACATGAACTGACGTCATGGGAAAGGGTCAGTGGCATTGGTCAGATGGCATAACTCGGACAACAACATGAACAGCGACACCTGTGGTCGAGTTACCGCTGTCATAACAGGGACAACCGTCATTGGCAGTGGTCTGGTAATCGAACTCTTGAGGCCACAGCGACAATGATGGCACTGGTACAGTAATCCAACTCTGACATCACGGGGGCACTGGTATATTTTTCAGGAAGGGTCCAGCGATAGGTGAATTCCAGACAGGGTCCACTGACGGACGAATTTCAGTCAGGGTTCAGCGATGGACGTATTGCAGGCGGATCCAAATGATAGATACATTCCAGTCAGACAGCTTGTGGTGATTCGCGCGTAAATCGACTCGAGTCACTTGTGACAAACCCACCACCGCTGATGCGTAGCCAGGCAGTGAAGCTGTGGTTAGACATTTGTCGCATCACACTCCAAATTCACGAGGAATAGCTGGAATGCATGCTTTTAGAGCGGGTAGTGACAATCTGAGCCCGCTGTTTGGCGGCAGGTTCAGTAGTTCAGTAGTGAGCCGCGCCGCTGCCCTGTTGAACGCACCTTCCACCCAGAGCGGGCGTCCATTCTTGTGAACCGCCAGGCTGATGCCGGGCGCGCCGTATTCTTGCTGGCACCTCAAAATCATTTCTCGGGCATAGCCTTTGATATTCTGAAAACATGTCCGTCATATCTCAACTTTGCAGATATATTAAGATATAATATGATGCATCAGCCTCACCTATGCAGAACAGCAGGACCCTGAAAAATAGGCCCCAGCCATGTAAAAGATGCTGAACCCCTTCATTAGCTAGAGATTCTCCTTTAAGGGTTTATGGCTGTTTGATTACAAACACCTTCCAACAACTGATGACTTAACTTCCCCATGGAAGACCTGGGTCATGTGCGTGCGTGCGTGCGTGCGTGCGTGCGTGCGTGCGCGCGTGCGTGCGTGCGTGCGTGCGTGCGTGCGTGCGTGCGTGCGTGCGTGTGTGCGTGCGTGCACGACTCAACCCTAATCTGACGATGTAGCCTTGGGTCCTCTTGAATTTTGTTCTGGAAAACTATGCCCCTGAATGCATGCTTTTTCTATTTAAATCCCTTTTTCAAATTCATGTCAGTTATGATTCACAGTCAGGCGCCCAACTGCATATGTGTGCTGTAGAGTATGCCTTTCCAAAGAATTCTCCGCAATAAGCTGCTGTATTTTATACTTAATAATAATGTTGTTTATAACATGCAATTAAGCTGCATCACCAACCACCAAACAAGAGTAAGAGAACCAATCAATCATATCACCCATGATCCGGTTCAATGTAGCTTGATAGCTATGTAGCCATGTAGCATTGACTAGTATTCGATATAATCTAAGAGATGCAGAACCAAAACCGCTTTTCTGATCACCCCACTTTAGAATTACATTCAGTAGTGTCGTGATGTAAAGTCGTGTTCAAGCCTAATGGGGAGGGGGGGGGGGGGTTAAGCCCATGAGCCCCCCTCCCCTGAATGTACAATGGTCTACAGAGCACTATGAAGCATCCTTGGCTACTGCCTTGACATACCATGCTTAGTTCTTGGAACAACAGGCAGAGGTTACACATGCTCAGCCAGACCAGTGACCTGATCACAGGCAGAGGCTACACATGCTCAGCCTGACCAGTGACCTCATCATACATATCACAGATCACACCCACTGACAGGCATGACAGATAGGTCAATGCATTATTTGGTGAGCCGAATGTTGTATGGTGCCATTGTATGTTGTCATAACACACCTACTCCCAAAAACACAAAGGTAACTTAGTCATTCATTTTATCTGTTGACCTGGTGTGACTGTTGCAATGCTAGTTTCAATACAGCTCCATGACACCACTCCGACCGCAGATTTATGTGAGCTGATGCAGATTTATGTGAACCTCTCCCCATCGAGCTCCGGCACATGTAATCTTAGAGATAGCGGAGAACATATGAGGCCCAACGTCAGCAGATGACAAAAATGCACATCCAGCTGTGCTTAACCAGCATTCTCTCAGTGTACCTCTAAGTCAACGTCGGCGGCAACTGGAAGCCGCGCATCCCGTTCGTGGGAGACGCCCGTCTCGCCACCCGGTGTTCTTGCCGCGACCACGGCCGTCGTCGCTCCAACGACAGCCGCGCCCATCTGCCACCACTTGGAAAACATTCTGTAACAAACGTCACATCATAAAGAAACAGCAGGACATTTGTTTAAAAACAGCACAAATCCTTATCACATGTTAACATGTGCCACTCCTTTCAAGTGTTTCCCTGCTCGACCATGCTCTGCATAGGCAGCATTTGGTTCTGTGTTACAGGCTTCATGGCCCATACAAATCACAAACATACAGTGGTGTTACCCCACATCCCAAGTGTGGGAGGAGCAAAGAGACCAGGGTGCTGTTTAACACACAACACTCCTACCATTGCCCCAAAGGGCCGCTGGTCCTCCATGTCCATTATCCTGCCAAAGTGAACACCCATTGGAGCCAGTCAATGGCTGTGATTGGCATGGTTACACAGTAGTGACCCATTGGAGCCAGTCAATGGCTGTGATTGGCATAGTTACACAGAAGTGACAACAGCTGGATTACATAGGCTTCCCGCCAGTGGCTAGCCTTCAGTGTTTATGCGAGGATTTTCACCCGCTGCGGGCAGCACTTGCATAGCCGCTCTGCAGCTGGTTTTGCCCGCGATGGGAACTAAATGCAGGCTCAGCTGCACATAATACCAGTGACCAGCTGATGGGAGGGGGCCTGACATTAGGCGGCAGTGTTGACCGTCACGTTAGATGGCAGTGCTGACTGTCAGTATTGGCTGCCGGCTGCTCCAGTACCAGCGGTGGAGCAGTGGGGGAACTCTAAATCAGGTGTTCCAAATGCTGCATCTGGATGGTGTGCATGTGAAATGAAAAGCTCACTGCATTCTACCACAAACCCAATATGAGACATGGAGCCCAGCTATTTGGGGCACTCCATAGTGGCCCCTCTGGAGTAGGTTCTGGGGGAATGGGCCAGAGGGCAGGGCTCTGTGGCTTTCAGGGGGGTAATCCTTCAAGTGTTTTAAATAAGCTGCATGCCAAATCTTGACACTGGTAATTCATGTCTTGTCACTGCATCCTGACCAGGGCATAATTGTAAAAGCTACCATCCATGTTTGTGATTCAAGTGCATTGACTAAATTTAAAGTTTGTGCAAAGTAACACAAGAATGCACAAGTGTGGTGAATGAATCTTTCCATTCCTGGTACATTGTGCTGGGGTTGCTCTGTGGCAAAAACTAAAACTCTTCCCAGATGCGTACCCACAGCATGTACAAGGCCAAGCAAGTGTGTGTCACAGTGAGCCAGGATCAATTGACAGGGCTGTTGGTGTAACTTGGTAATTGAGCAGTAATGGTTGGTGTGACATACCACAAAGTAAGAACATTATTCTTAACCTGTTACCTCCTCTGTGCTCTTTATTCTTCAGAAACTGCTTCTGACTTTTTTGTCTTGACCAACCTTATTTTTTGTTGTTACTAGCTTGCTTCTACTGATTTCACACTGTTTTTTTCCAGTTCCATGATGCTTTTCTTCAGAGGCATTTTCGTCTGGCTGAGAAGACACAAGTCTGTCAAGTCAACAAGTCAACAGCACTGGGCATGGGTTCCAGAATACATATTGCTAAGCTTGTTGATCGCAAAAGGCTTTAAGAAGGCAGTTGGCAAGTAGCCAACAAGGGTTGCAACTTGGGTCCCCTTATCCTAACTATCTTATGGCATTGTGAAACAATGGCTGGTCCAGGGTCTCACTGAAAAACATACATATCATGTAGAACATGTCTAGCTGGCAGACATTGTGGCAAAAGATTCAGTGTATGCACACAATCCATCTGAGCACTGAGCTTGGTGCACAGTCCAGCCAATTTCAGTGCAATGAGAGCTAATTTTTCAAGGAATATACTTTTGCCCAGGTACTGCTTGGTCAGCACAGAAGCTAGACATCTTACACAATAAATGCTTTTTCAGGCTGGTCATAAGGCTCAAAACCAGAAGCAGCTAGAATTTGCTGCCAGCATCTTCAGCATCAGCAGCATCATCTCCACTTTGAACTTTTCATTTAGCTTATATATATATATATATATATATATATATATATACATATATATTTCTACTAGCTCCAATACCAGTGATGGGGTGCTAAGCTAAAACACATGACACCGCAACACAACCACTCAGGCCAACGGCGCAATAACCACCAGACACCTTTCTCATCACGTTAACATTGAGCCTATAAGTATTAACGATTATCGTAAGGCCATTTACAGCCATTTAAATGCTCTAGCGAAGGATCAACGCCCACCCCGGCCTCTCCACAACCACACACCCACAAGCGTGAACCGTGAGGTCACAGCGCGCCCCCACTAGGGTTCCGAACTGTATCTCACTGCCAACTCCATGTAACAGCCCACGGTCTACCTGGATCCATCTGGATGCTTTTTCGCGTCATCCGGATGGCATGAATCTGGAATCAACCTGGCGCCAATGAGTGACGTAAGGAGAATACTAGGCCATGATTGGTGCTGACAAACACACTGGCAGCAAATCGAACGCGGCCAAGAACAGCATATTTATTCCTCGGCCGTCGGCGGCCCCGGTGACCGCCGACGGCGGCGGCCGGTCGGGCGTCGCCTCCGGGGGTCGGCCGCGGAGGCGCGCCTGGACGTGCGCATCAGTAACGCAATACACCACTCCATCTCCTCTCCAGCTTGCGAGTCCGTCGGTGTCCACCTCCCCCCCCCCTCCCCCCACCGTGCAGACCACACGGTCCACTCGCCGTATCGCTCAGGAGGACGGTCTTGCCTCTCACTGCGGCGGCGGTGGGAGATTACTCGCGCTTCAGTGGAGCGATCAACCGTCACCTCAGTTTCTTCAACATGTCTCTCGGCATTTTCAGACTCGTCATTTTCAAACTCAGAGTCATTTTCTGAGTCTCACATCCCTTGATTCCACGTCAGCGCTGGCCATCTGTCTGCGTCAGCTGTCACCTTCTCATCTGCCTCTGTCCCCTGGTCCCTGTCACCCTGGCTCGTCAGATGCGGCTGCCTTCTTCCCACAGGTTTCAACTGATCGAAATGACGTATGAAACAATGCCTAAAGTTGTCGATCTCTTGATGCGGTACGGGTTCCCTTGTCGGCAGCTGATCACTACAAAGGGGCCATCCCAACGGGGTTGAACCTTTCCTGGCGTTCCTGGCTTTTGTGGAATCTTCATAAACACCCGATCCCCCAGACGATAAGGGACCATGTTTGCCGTTTTTCTACTAGCATCCACTCTTTCCTGTGTTGTCTTCTGCTCCCGTCTGACTACCTCCTCGTGAGCTCTCATCAACGTTTTCACCAGGTTTCTGGCCTAAGACTGCTCTGTGCCGAAACGGCTTGAAGAACTTTCCTCCGTTCGAGCTATCTCAGGAATGCGTGGGTGGCGACCAATCTGGAGAAAAAAGGAGACCTACCAGTGGCGTTGTGTGGAGCTGACATATACTGGAATCTAACAACACCCAGACACTTGTCGCACCCGCATCCCGACTCCTGCACATTGCGACAGATCAGGTCACCGATTGTCTGGTTCGCCCTCTCCACGGCCCCATTCGACTGTGGATGAAATGCATTAACCTTGTTTGTCTATGCCCATCGCATGTGCCAATGCTTTTCACTATCTGAAAAGGCCTTCGAGGCAAAACTTACTGGCCTGTCGACCTCTGATTGGTCCCTCTGGGATGGAACACAGCCAAAATCAAAATCCGACGCATCTGTGCTAGCCTCAAATTCTTGCTGCATGTCTGGTAAATGTAAGAGCGTGAACGTGCCGAGGGCCTGTTTCAGTTCTTGAAAAGCATTTTTTCCGTTCATCCCACTGGAACTTGTTCTTTCCAGAGATTTTATGCAGCGGAGCCGCTACAACCTGGAGGTGTGGCACGAAATCATTGTAGTATTTGCAAAGCCCAAGAAATTGTTTTAACTGTTTGGTTGTCTGTAGTCGCAGCCAATTCTTGATAACCTCAACCTTTTCTGCATCTGGCTCGAGACCTGGGGATGACACAAAGTCACTAAGAAGCCTCATTCGCCGCCTGCAGGGCACCGCTTTCTTGCTCTTTACAGTAATACCAGCACACCTCAGTTTTTCCAACGGAGCTTGCAGCGGTTGCAGGTGCTCCTCTTCAGTTTTTCCACCGACAATGATATCATTGATATATGCAGTAAACCCGTTTCTTATCAAGCTCTGCAATACTTCTGCTATCAGGCGAGAAAAACATCCAGGCGCCCCCTTAGCCTCAAATGGCATCACCCGAAATTCCTATTTCCTGTCCTCTGTTGCAAATGCCGTTTTTCTCTGCAGTCTTCCGGGGCCACTGGGACCTGCCAATAAGCCGAGTTCAGGTCCAGCGTGGTAAACAGCCTGGCCCGGCCAAGCTATCCAGGCATTCCTTGACAGATGGTATGAAGCAGACCTCGTCCATCGTCTTGTTGTTAAACGCACGAAAGTCCGCCGCGAAACGAAAAGAACCATCTGACTCCTTAACCATCATAATAGGTGAAGACCAAGGATAATTGGAACGATGGGTAAGCCCACCGGCCTCCATGTCCGCGATTTGCCTCCGTAACTCTGGCCTCAAATGATATGGGGATCTTCTTGGCCTAACTGCAACAGGTGGCGACTCACCGGTGTTGATGCCGAGATGGACACGATGTGTTCGACCCAGCTCACCATCAGAATTTGCGAACACGTCCCGATATGTCACATAGACTTGAGTTTCCTGCGACTGACCTCAGTGACTCCCACTTCAGCCAAATCAACGTTTACCGGTCCGACCCGTTTAGGCCTGTCGCCCACTGGAGCCAGCGTCATGTCTTCAACCTTGCCAAGAACGGAATGGATATAGAGATTAATCAGATTAATTCGAGCCCACACGAGTCTTCACGTAAAATCAGGGTTGGAATATGTAACACCTAACTTGCAGCGCGCCAGTCCTTGATGTAAATCTGCCGTAAAACGTACACTTCGTTTATCAGTAATTGTATGACTTTTGTAAGGCTTACGGAGAACTGGGGTTAGGAGTGCCGGACTCATTATATTCGACACGAAGCTGTTCACTTGCAATGTGCATAGCTCTTGATGTAGCTTGGTGAGAAAAATGACGCACATTGCACCTTGTCCTTATACCATCGTTCAGTAATTTCGGAAATAGCACGAATCTTTATGGATAATTGGAGCTGCGAATTCTGATGGCACACGTAATAACTTGCTTCCGATGCGCACTGGTTTGATGAAGATTTGATAGAAAATAGCGTACGTTGCAACACCTTCTATATCACCTTTATTTATTTAGGAACTAACATGAGTCTTCACGAAAAACTCTACTCAGAAAGACTGACTCTGTGATTTAATACGTAGCTGTTGTATGCGAAGCGCTTAGTTCTAAATGTTGCTTAAGAACAGCCAACGCGCATTGAAGTTCATTCTATTTTAATTGCTTTACAAAGTACAACGCATTGAGGTCAGGAAGCCTGCTCGAAAGCCCAATGAGTCATCTGAGTAGGATAGCTTAATTGTTCATTTTATTTGCTTACAACTCGGCAAGTCTGCAATGAATCATTCGGAACACGATCGTTGTAGCAGTCTGCAGAATTTATCAGTGACGGGAACAGATTTTCTGATTACTGGGCTCTAACCTTACTGACTCCAGTACGCATTTTCAAGCACGCAGATTTGATTGCTTCGGACCGCACCTCACAGAGAAAGAGTTTAGTTCCATGCCCACGCATGTGGACAAGGTTTTATTCTTTTGCCCGGATTTCCGCTCCAATATTTTAGTAACTTCACTGACGAGCGTAGGATAGTATGTCAAACGCTGAATCAATGCAACGACTTAATTTTCTGCTTCTTTGCCGTGTGGCTGATTCAGCATGGCCTCCCGAGTCAATGGCTTGGCTCTGCTAAAATTTTGGAGATAGTTTCAACGCATCAGTCAGTCAAAGCCACGGAACGTCTTCCGGAAGCTCTCATTGTGAGTTATATGATTACCTCGGCTTCCTGGTTTGTTAATTACGACAGGGCAATCTGACAAGGGGATACCTTCAGGGGTGGCTTAGTTGAGATAATGAATGACGGTTACATTGCGCGTGACATTCAGCGACCGTTTAAGATCGTGCCCAGGACTGAGGGACAAACGTAATGAGATCGGAAAAATATCGGTGAACTTTACTTGAATGTGATTTTCTATGGCAAGCATAAGGGCCGGACGTAATCAACTCAGTTTTCCCGGATTCTTTGCATTTGAAAGCAATGTCAGACCAGCCCTCTCTGTATCATATCATGTCATGCATACAACCGTTTGCTTCGTGCACGCTCTTAATGATCAGACAATGGGGGACAATCGCCGTTAAACCATGATTACGTGGGAGATGCGGGAAGAAGTGAAAATCAGATCGGGTGAAGTTAGACCTAGCAGTTGTAATCCCTTCCAAAGTTTGGCTCAAGGTCATGTGCACGTTCAGCTGCTACATTT